ACTGCTCCTCAGATCAAGGAGAAAGACACAATACTTCTGTGTAAAGCAGCCCTGCTTTGCAGGGAGATAAAAAAAAAAAACAGCACATCCCCGCTCACAGCACAGATCTGTTTTGTTTACATTCATACATGTCAGTTATTCCACCAATTGCTGGTTCCCCGCCATAAGTCGCTTGTCACAACCCAGTGATTGACGTACAGGAGCCAATGACAGCACAGGTATGCTGGCACACGCCCCAGAAATGCAGAATCACATATATACATGATTCTGCAGAGCAGCCAATATGTTGCAGTAAAGCTGCTATAGGGCGGACAAAAAGTGGATAAACTATAATGCAGATCCATAATAATAATAATAATAATAATAATAATAAATCATTTAATGTTTTAGATCCACTCTTCTCAACCTTTTTTGTCCCAGAGGAACCCTTGAAATAACATTTAGTTCTCAAGGAACCTCTGTTATAACCAATTTATTGGGGATATGTGGGAAAATGCCCCTTACATTGGTGGCCAGTGGGACGAATTTCCCCCCTACAGACAACTAAATAGATAGTTGGTGTCATGCTGCTGGCTCTGCCAAGTGGCTTTGGCCCTAAAACTATGTGAGCACCATCAAATGGGAGGCCAATCAGCCACAGATCAAGGAAACCCTAGCAACCTCTGGAGAAATCCTAGCTGACAACAGCTAGAGTAGATAAATAAAGCCTTCCTGCTCTGTTAAGGGAGGTTAGATTGGAACAAAATAATGATTTGCTTTGCAATTGCTCAGAATGAAGTCTGCTTTATTTAGTTTTTTTATTTGCCAGACACCACAAAGCTCTTAAAAGAGGCCAGTCTACCTAAAACTGATTTATTAATTTTTGGTAAATGATAGGGAAAAGTGAAGCTCCAGTTATCACAGGAAATGAAGGGAGTGAAAATCTTCCTATTGGTCCCCCAGGGAGCAATAATACTTGGCAGAGGCTCAAACCTTTCCCTGCAGCATGGAAGCAACACAAGAAGTTTCAGCTTGGCATTTCATTAGGTTTATAAATAGATTCTACTAGTTCCAATGCTGGCCATATACTGTATATGGCAGTTTTATAGAAATGTCCACCACTGCTAAATAGCTTTTAACAATACGGACCAACATATCCTCCTATATACATTTTTTGGGGGGTTTTTTGTTTACTGGCAGTCATATTTGTGATGGAAATCTAGTTACAACTGTACAAAATTGTCACGTGTGTCCTGCATTAGGGATTCTGCCAGAGAGGTCCTAGACCGGAGCTCCTCCATTTACATATGGCAGTAGTAGTTATTTTGGATATTGAATACATTGGGGGGCATTTATCAAGCAATTTAGGCTACATGTAGCAAACAGGCTACATCTCCGTCAGTACAGTCTCTGTGGCTGGTTTACAGACTTGTGCGACTGTATTCCTGAGCAGTCAAGTGCAACAGTTTGCAAAGTTCAAAGATAGATTTTATTACTGAAAATAAGACAGATTTCCATTCCAGACACATAATTAAGAAGTGATCCGGGTAAGGTTTATTGCAATCGCAAGTGCAAGGAGGAATGGAGGACTCAGGCAGTAACCTAGTAATAAATCTGTTTCACGATGCATCTCATTGCTTCTGTTTAGCACTGATTTACCTTGCAACAAGGAGTGATAAATGTTCCCAAGGTCATTGTTTGATATTTTTTCATATTTTAATTTTTTCATAAATATTAAATCAAGTTTAAAAAATATTTGGGATTTTTCTTTTAATTGTCTTGTTTATTGTTATTGCAGCGACAGTCACTCCCATACTTCAAAGATGAAGATCTCCACTGCGGGGGCAGACAGTCTGAACATCAATTTCACCAGAGACGTCAGAACCATGATTCTACTCCAAGACACAGAATGCAGTCATTCTCCACGACTGCACATCAGTTGTACCAGAGACATCAGAATCCTGACTAACATTATAACATTTGGAACATGTCTTTAGTATTAGAGTAGAGGAAAGAATCTCATATTTACTAAAGATTTTTTTTTGCAGGCCAAGATTTTCCCATAAATATCAGAGGATCTAGAGCTTCAATATGGGCATGAGCCTAAACAACACCTGTCCAAGAGTTCTAGAAGAGATCAGAACCCTGACAGAAACCACTCTTCAGTCGATCAGAAGCAGCCAGAACCGGGGAGCTTCCAGAGTCTACCTGTCTGTAACTGGACAAGGAGAAAGCGCCTGAGTGCAGCATCTATCTACTGGAGATGGAAGAGAAAGCTGAAACCACCAGGCTACTCTTCTTCCATCAATCAATTTCACACTGACTGCACTACGAGGTGGATGCAGGAGAGCAGAACCTGCTCACTCTGCCGGGAAATTGTCATCTACAATATGTGGGTAAGTGTCTTACATCTGTTAATCTTTCCTATCACTTTTACTATTACTGAGAAAGAGTGACTGCTATTAAGATCTGGCAAAAAACGATTATTTTGAAATCAGACTTTTCTTCTCTCACTTACAGTCTGCATTTGATCTACTAAATTATGGACAGATGGCCGTTATCCCTGGAAAATTTTACTCCATACAGCCACCGATGACTATGGAGTTTAATCTGCGAAGCACTAACTGTACAAACTGAATAATTCTACACCCACCAGAAATGAATAACTGAAAAATTACATCTGCAGCAGGTAAGCCATGCACGATAGGATACATTTCCCCCATAAAATATTATTCCTGCCAACTATCAATATGGTCACTTTCTGAAAAATAAGGATCCTTATCCTTGTGTGAAAGCTTTCTGAATAGAGTCTCTTGACACTGTAGCCCATTGTAGTAAATGTAATCTATAAGGCTAAAACGCAGATCCTTATTACAGAGTGATCAGACGGATAACATCTATTATTAAATTGGTGGATCAGATAAATAAAGCCTTCTGCTCTGTGAAGGAAGCTTGGGTAGTTACAAAATGAACATTAGCTTTGTATTTACTCAATAGCTTGACCTCCAACTCATTTGGATTGTCTGCTTAGGTGCCAAAGGCTACAGAGGTCTTACAAGGCTAATTCATCCATACTTGATATTGCAATTGTTAGTAAATGAAGGAGGTAAGAGTGCAGTTCCTGGCATCCCCAAGAAGGACATGGAGTAGAACCTACTGGTTTCCTGGGAAGCAATAAAACCTAACAGAGGTTCTAAACTTTCCCTGCTCTATGCAAAACAAAACAAGAAAGAATTTTTGTTGAGCGTTTTATTGGCTGCTGCAGCTGAATCAGGAGATGGATGCAAGAGACAAGAATCTGTCCCCTGAGCCAACAAAGGGTCACATGGCTGATTCCAGTATGGGTCTTATCAGTCAGTCACTCTTTTCTCCCAAAAAAGCCCACCTTGACCATTGTTGGGTAACAGTGATTGCTTTGTTAGCTGGTAAAATTATTTAGAAAAATTTTTTGTTGAATAAGTATATTTCTTTTAGGAAACCGTTACTACGCGTTTTTTTATCTCCCCACAGATACAGCTGATGAATTGTGGACAGATGATCACCACCACCCCGGACCAAGCCATCGATTTTCATTTTCTTTTCCAATAGATAGATAGTTAAGTTACATACTCTTTACATTTGGGCCAGACAGCGGCAATAGTGGTTAGCACTCATGCCTTGCAGCACTGGTTCCTTGGTTTCTTATTCCAACCAGGATATTCACTGCATGGAGTTTGCCTGTTCTCCCTATGCTTAATTGGGTTTCCTCCGGGTACTTCAGGTTTTCTCCCACTCCAAAAGACATGCTTTATGGGTGAAGTTTCTTTAAAGTAAAGTAGAGGAGAGTAGGAATTGACCAGAAAGGGATTACTTTGACACAGTAGGCCAGGTTAAACATTGCACTGCAATTTATGTGAACTAAACATCCCTGTTTTTATTCAAAGTTTGATAGAAAGGGTGAATAGCAGTGTGCAGAGGGTTCATTCAGAATTTGTAATAAAGTGTGGAAACCGTATTCTTATCAGGCTGGTTGTGTATTCATTATCGTTCACCTACCCACATTCAGAAAATGTCCTAAAATGAAACTCATCATTGTCCACATCATGATAGCAGTAATGTAATAAAAATGCCAGTATACATGTATAATTACATATTTCTATGTAGTTCATGGTAATAGAAATGCTCACACTCCCTAACTAAAGCTGGCCATAGAGTGATAGAATTTAAAATGAACATTCTTAGGAAAGTTTGTATGAAAATTCTCAGAACATTGAAATACTGTTCAAAAGATTGCATTTGCTTTTAACATTTGATTTTGGAACAAATGGACTTTACTGAATGAAAACCACATACACACTTAGAAATGAAAATAAATCCAATATTGTTGCATTATGTTAGTCATGAAAAAATAAATAAATAAATCATTCAATCAATATCTATTAACCCCTTGACGCCGACTGCACACAAATTAGCAGCCTCACAGAATTGGGCTTTTTTCCGTGGGGCCACTAATTTGCATACCTGTCTTTCTGCTTGGAGCACGCCGCATGGCGAACTCCCAGCACAAAGATTGGGGTGTCACTGAGAGCCCCAGGTCCCATTCAAACGTTCGGGACACGGGGAACTCCCATCCTGATCAGTCACTGTGAAGCCCGCCCCCCCCCCCTTGTTTTCTCTCTGAATAAAGGAGAGATACATTGTATCTCTCTCTGTCCTTACAGAGAGAGGAAAAAAAAGTGTAAATAAATTTTTTTAAAAAAAAATAAACAAATACCTAGATCAAGGGTCCTCAAAAATTTTAAACAGGGGGCCAGTTCACTGTCCCTCAGACCGTTGGAGGGCCGGACTATAGTTTAAAAAAAAAAAAGAAAACTATGAACAAATGTGGACACAGTACAGGAGATGACCAGAGACTGCGGACATACAACGGCGATGGGAATACTGGGCCAGCTGCTCCATAAAACACACAGACATTTCCCCCCAAGTGTGTCTTATGGAGCGAAATAGTGCCCCATCATTGGTGGCAGTGGGGGGAGGAATAGTGCCCCATCATTGGTGGCAGTGGGGGGAGGAATAGTGCCCCATCATTGGTGGCAGTGGGGGGGAGGAATAGTGCCCCATCATTGGTGTCAGTGGGGGGAGGAATACTGCCCCATCATTGGTGTCAGTGGGGGGGTAGGAATAGTGCCCCATCATTGGTGTCAGTGGGGGGAGGAATAGTGCCCCATCATTGGTGTCAGTGTGTGTGTGTGTGTGTGGTGGGGGGGGGGGGGGGGGGGGGGGGGGGGATAGTGCCCCATCATTGGTGTCAGTGGGAGGAATAGTGTCCCATCATTGGTGTCAGTGGGAAGAATAGTGCCCCATCTTTGGTGTCAGTGGGAGGAATAGTACGTCATTGGTGTCAGTGGGGGGGAATAGTGCCCCGTTATTGGTGTCAGTGGGGGGGGGGGGGATAGCGTCCTAACATTGGTTTCAGTGGGAGGAATAGTACCCCCATCATTGGTGTCAGTGGGGGAAGGAATAGTGTTCCAGCGTTGGTGTCAGTGGGGGGTGGAATAGTGCCCCATCGTTGGTGTCAGTGGGGGGGGTGTCAGTGGGGGGGGAATAGTGCCCCATCGTTGGTGTCAGTGGGGGGGGGGGGGGGGGGGGGTTGTGCCCCATCATTGGTGTCAGTGGGAAGAATAATGCCCCATCATTAGTATCAGTAACACCAATGATGGGGCACTATTCCTCCCACTGACACTTAACTTGCTGACCCCTGCTCCAGCATGGTGCTGCTGCAGCCAGCATACCTGGTTGCAGCAGCACCATCTGCACGGCACACTTACTTGTCAGCTGTCAATCACTCCGGCCTCTCCCTCACTCGATGTTCGCGGGGTACACGCTCGGCTCCTCCTCCTCACAGGTGATTGGCCGCCTGTGTGCCTTTCCTGAGCTATAGTTCTGGTGCCCAATCACCGGTGAGGAGGCGGAGCCGAGCAGCAGCATGAACATCGAGTGAGGGAGAGGCCGGAGTGAAAGAGCAGCGCTTCCTGGACTGGATCGTCGTGGGACTGGGACACGGAGCCAGGTAAGATACAGCAGCCCCCTGCCTGCCCCTGTACTTAGTGTCCCTTCCTCGCGGCAAATACGCCCCAGCCGGCGGGCCGGATAAATGTCCTTGGCGGGCTGCATGTGGCACGCGGGCCGTAGTTTGAGGACCCCTGACTTAGATCAAGGTTTGATCTAGGCCTGTTCCAGGTTTAGTGTTTTGGTCAAGGTCAGGGTCAAAGGTCAAGGTCTTTTTGTTTGTTGTTTAATTTTTAAAATTAGTATCAGTTACTGTTAGAATAATAATAAAAAAAAAAGCATATTGTGCACTACAGTTTCTGGGCTGTACTACGGGTACAAGCAACAACTAACGTACACATATGTGGTATTGTTGCAATCGTCAAGAGCAGTAGAAATTATTTTCGGCTGTTATTTGGTGGTAGGTTATGGTACTACCAAGAAATATACAGCTAAGTTTAAACAAAGGGTTTTTTTTTTTTCTTCACTATCTTGGGCCAATCTTCCTTTGGTATAAACGAAAAAAATAAAAGTAATCAGGGAGATATCCATTACCATTTACCACCAAAATGAAAGCCCAATTAGTCCTGAAAACAAGATATAATCCACCAGGATGCACAAAAGTAGTTGTGATGATATGTATGGTTTTGCTAAACACATTTCAAAGTTGCAAAATTGTGCTTAGGCGTTAAGATTTGTTTTACCCTTAGGCACGAAGGGGTTAAATAAAGTGGGGGGGGGGGGGGGGGGGGTTGGTCAACAAAAAAAAAACGTAAAAATAAAAATAAAATATGGTATCTTTAAATAATCACCAAACTGAAGTGCAACTAAAAGTCCACGGAAAGCGTATCTTACCCTCCGTTCACATCAAGCCAGACTTTGAAATGCAACTTCACTGTACAGTTGAAGATTGCACAATTTCAAAGCTGAGGGACCCACGCGATTTCAGGTGCGATTTGCAAGACATCTAATACAGATGTCTATGCAAAAATCACACCAAAAGTAGTGCATGTACTACTTTTGAAATCAGTGTGGCTCCAACCAAGTCGGAACCACACTGCTATGACTGCTCCAATTGGGTGCGACTTGGCATGCAATTTTCAAGTTGCAGGACATGCAATTCACATGCCACAAGTCGCATCCAGTGTGAACCAGGGCTAAATGTTCAAAGTATCCAAAAACATATTTTTCTTTGATAAGTTTGCAGGATATTATGGACACGGTTTTTATTTCAACCAGGTGACCAATACATACACCACCGCAAAACTCATACCAAAATTGATAGACCCCAAATTATAGGTGGCCTAAACGCCACTGGCTCCGGTGGTCAGACAGGTGTGGGTGACATAAGCACAAAACTCTGCCCTGCCCCGATGTAAGTTTCGTCTAAACAGACGATGTCAAGGGGGTCAGCTGATCCCCTTGGCAATATCGTTTTAGATGAAACGTACATCGGGGGCAGGGCAGAGTTTTGTGCTTATGTCACCCACACCTGTCTGACCACAGGAGCCAGTGGCGTTTAGGCCACCTATAATTTGGGGTCTATCAATTTTGGTAAGAGTTTTGCGGTGGTGTATGTATTGGTCACCTGGTTGAATAAAAACCGTGTCCATAATATCCTGCAAACTTATCAAAGAAAAATATTTTTTTTGGATACTTTGAACATTTAGCCCTGGTTCACACTGGATGCAACTTGGCATGTGAATTGCATGTCCTGCAACTTGAAAATTGCATGCCAAGTCGCACCCATGTCTGGATATGGAGCCAGCAGCAATTTTATTATTAAATGCATACATTGATGGATGATTGTAAGTAGATTTATATATATATATATATATATATATATATATATATATATATTTATTAATTAAAAACACTCGGCGGCAGTACAGTATTTGGAGTCTCATCATCTCGGCTGGGCCTTGCAGTGGAATAGGAAGGGAGAGATGAAAGTGGAGTATACTGGAGATGTGTAGCATGTATCCCCTACGCTAAGAAATCCTTGAAGCAAAATTCATGCAGCTCTACGCTGTTAGACAACCTATAATTTGGGGTCTAACAATCTGGTAAGAGGCAGTGTGTTTTTTGCAGTAGTGGATGCACCAGTCACCTGGTTGATAAGTTTGGAGGGTACATGGACGTAATCTTTATTCGTAGAAACACGGTTTTAGATACTTTGAACAGTAAGAGAGATTTAACACCCGATTGAATGATTGTTATGATTAACATAGCATGGATTCATTTATATATTGAGCATTTGTATTTCTATTATTTTGAGAGCTGCGATTTACGGTTATTTAGTTTGGCACTAAGCGCAGTTCTTATATATTCACATTACAGTTAGAAATTTATTTGCTCAAGAAAAAATTTTCCATCCTGCTCCTTTGAATTCTCTCATCACTGCAGTTGAAAGCAAACGTAGAGTTGACCCATTGTTTAGATAAATAGGCAAAACTTTTCTTAGAACATTCTTTTCCTGAGAATGTTTGTCCAAAATTCGACCCATCAATGGCCAGCTTTTCGGTTGTATGAACACTGTCCTATGTTCTATGAACAGTCTCCTCAGTTGCATGAAAGCTCTCCTATGCAGTTGGACAGGAATGTACCCAGAAAGGGCTGCGAGTTGAATCAGCCCCCAGCTCTGCCTGTGATGCATTTCCCAGAGAATCATTAGATTGCTATGCTGTCAACTCACATCCTTCCTGAAATCATCAAAAAACTAAATACATAGGCAAAATACATAAAGATGGGCTGTTTTACCTGCCAACAGTCCATCTAGCACTAAGATTTACACAGCTCTACTAAGGGAACCTGTTTCTTTGCCCTGCATGGGAACACTGAAGAGGAAATTCCTGTCCAATACCCTAAATTGATGCACAAGTGATAGTAAGTATTAAGATATAGTCTGATTGTACAATCTCCTTAAACCTGACCATACACTATACGATTGTACAATCTCCTTTAGGCTGGACAACACTATACAATCTGATTGTACAATCTCCTTTCAATTACCAAAACTATGTAATAGCATCACACACCTAATCAACTTTGTATCAGATCAGACATGCCCTTGTCCGACATAGTAGATCTAAAGGAGGTTGTACCATCAGATTGTATAGTGTATTGTATATGGTCACTGAAGGAATTAGCCTTTCAGCATTACCATACCGCCATTTTGTCTCTTAGCCTAAGATCTGCCATTTTAAGATAAGAATCCATTTTGAGACTTATGTCAGTACTTAAAGATGAATTTGTGTTTTAAGACTGTTTCTTACTTTCGATAAGAGTCTGAGGTTCCTCTTTTCCCTTCAGATGTAACTTCCTTTTTTCCTCTACCTAGCACAAGACTGAAAGTCTGCGGTGGGCTTTTTCCTGTTGCAAGAGTATTAATAAACTATAGCCAGCGCTAAAAGGGAAGTTGTCTACTTTCTATACTGATCAAAAGTTCATGCTTGACGCATATAATAATAATTAACATAAATGCTAAATGATTGGGCATTACTGACGTATATAATATTCTGATTGGTCAATGCATACCTGTCAATTGATTGGTTCTTATATTTCTATGTATTGTTTTAAGTTTCATATATAAGTTTAAACACGGAAGAATAAATTCAGTTCCTTCTGAGATATCACCTTGTGTCTGTGTGCAATTTCCTGTATCTCAAAGGGAACTCCGGGCCTGTGGACAGACATTGATCAGGGCCAGGGGACTGACGGGAGTCGGTAGCTACAGGAAGGAACGAGAGGAGCCAATTCCTTTCAGTCACCTTTAGCTTTACTAAAACTAAGTAATATAAGGGAAAACCTAAACAATCCATTCAATTTATATTCAATCAGGAAGGCCCTTGCACTACATTATTGATGGCAGAACTAATGGAGATTGTACAAATAGACTGTCTAGTGTATGGCCAGCTTAAGATTTATTAATGATTGGGCAGTACAGTGGCTAAATGGTTAACACTTCCGCCTGGCAGTACTAGGGTCGTTGGTCCAAAGCCCAACCACGGCACCACCTGCCTGGAGTTTGCATGTTCTCCCTGTGCCTGCGTTGGCTTCCTCCGGGTACTCCAGTTTCCTCCCACACTCCAAAGACATGCTGGTAGGTTAATTGGATCCTGTCTAAATTGGCCCATGTATGTATGATTGTGAGTTAGGGACCTTAGATTGTACGCCCCTTGAGGGTTAGGGACTGATGTGAATGTTATATAGATATAGCGCTGCGTAAATTGACGGCGCTATATAAGTACCTGAAATAAAGTACTGTGAGGGTCTGCTTAATTGGCTGTAAAGTTGAATGCATAGTTCGTTTCTGCTTTTTACACCACACACGGATTGGTTTGCATTTTCCCCACTACACCTGAAGACCCTGGTCACTGAACTCAGCCGCAGAGATAAATAGTCACTTTGTGATAGTTCAGTAAAATGAACCGCTTCATGATGTGTAGGGTAAAACCAGTCATAATGCCTGAACACAGTCTTGCAACTTCGGCATGTGTTAGTAAAACTATATGTATTA